GTTGGGCGCCCTCTGTCCCGGGGCCGCGCCCCCACCCTACCCCACCCCCCACATTCAGCCCCCAGAGTCTCCCCGGCTCCAAGTGTCCAGTCCTTGATCGAGACCGGCCTCCTCAAGGGACACAGACGTGCTCAGAGGAACACACTCAGAGCGACCCTCACTGGAGACCCTCAAATTCGTACGTGAACCCGCAGAGGAGCTCAAACGGGCGCCCACACTCTGCAAGGTACACCATAGACACTCTCCAACTCTTACACATCCAGAGAGATTCACCCTGACTCACTCACTCACAGAGACACTTAGGAAACCAATCCACGGACCCTCTTAGACTCCAGACACCCAGGGACCCGCAAAGGTAGGTCCACCCGCGGACACACACAGAAACATCCAGAGACCTGCAGACACACTCAGAGCAACAAACAGGGACACCCTTGACCACACAGGGAGACCCTCAGATCCCACAGGAACTCACAAAGAAGTTCAGATGGACACACACACCCTCATGAACCCACACTACTCACAGAATTCACACAGACAGACACATAACCAGTGACACACATTCTCAGATCTGCACACAGAGACACCAGTGCCCCTCCTCCCGCCAATGTTAACCCCAGCAGCACAAATTCACATACACATGGAAATACTATGACCAATAGCGTCACACTCCCACACAGTCACCCTCAGAGAGAGACACTCAAACACACCTCAATGGGCTCACACAGGCTCACACTCAGACACAGCCACACAGACTTAGTCACTCCCAGTGATGGATACATTCTGATGCACAGACACCCTCAGACTTATATAGGGACACTGAGCGAGCTGCCAGATTCACTCGCTCACCCAGATACTCGCACATATAAACCCCTAGACACTCAAACACACACACAAACTCAGATATTTGGAGCCCTCTAGGTGAACACAATCACAATCAAAACCCCAAACTCCATTCCCTGGCCTTGACCCAAGACCTGAGGGCCCCACCTAGTCAGGCCCAGCTGGCTAACTTGTCACAGCTGTTCCCACATCTGCTTCATGAGGCAGCCTGCTGGGATGGCAAAAGCACAGAATTTGGATCCCACCTGTAGCTCTATCCTTCTATGTGGTTTAAGATGAAGTCCTTTACATCACCTGCCTGTTTCATCTGTATAAGGCGGATGCGAACCCTCCATTTTGGATGGTTGTGAGGATTAAGTAAGATAATGTGCCTTAGTTTTCAATCGCTGTGTAACAAAGAGGCTTAGTTTATCATTTTTTAGGTCAGAGGTCTGAGCAGCCTTGACTGAGTTCTTTGCTTTAGGGCCTCACAAGATATTGACCAGACTGGGCTCTTATCTGGAAGCTCTGAAGAAGAATCAGCTTCCAAGCTCATTCAGATTGTTTGCAGTTTTCAGTTCCTCGTGGCTGTAGGACTGAGGCCCCTGTTTCCTTTCTGGCCTTTGGTGGGAAGTCACTCTCAGCTCCTAGAAACGGTTCTCTTGTCCTTGCACATGGTCTCCTCCATTATCAAGATCGTTATCAGGATGTCAAACACTTCTCATCCTTAAAATCTCTCTAACTTCCCTTGTGCTTACTGGCCTGAGAAAACTCTCTGTGCCAGTGATTTAGTAAAGACTCTAAGAACACAGAGATGAATAAAACAGACCTGGTCTCTGACTTCATGGAGTTTAGAGTCTGGCAACATTAAACAGATAATTATGACCATAATTAGTTAATTACATTATTTAATAGTTTAATTATAATAAGTTTAATTACAATTGTGATGTGACAAGATATGTATATCTTTTTTTTTTTTAATTTTTCAGCGGAGGTACTGGGGATTGAACCCAGGACCTCGCACATGCTAAGCATGCACTCTACCACTGAGCTATACTGTCCCCCCAAGATATGTATATCTTGACACATATATATCATATATATATCTTATAAATATCACTTACAAGTTATATACATATATGTACTTTGTAGTGAATGTGTGTTCATGTGTGTGCACCTGCAAGTGTGTGTGTGTGTGTATGTGCATGTGTGTGAAGGTATCTTACCCAGCCTGCGGGGATCCAGGAAAGCTTCTTTGGAGAGGTGACATTTAAGCTGAAAATGGCACCTGCTGTGTGCCTGGCACTGTTCTTGGCCCTGGGGATATATATATACACCAGTGAATGAAATAAAGTCACTGCCCTCACATTTGCATTTTAAAATAATCTCTGGGGCTGCTCTGGGAGGAAGGGATTGGAGTGAATTCAGAGGGTGGCTCCCCCTCTTCTCTTCAGATAAATCCTGATTTGAACCAAAAAGCCACTGATTGTTTTTAACATGCGAATGGCAGGGGAGGTTGAGAAAGAATGTCCCGTGGGAAGGTGAAGTGGAGGGGGCGGGGACTGTGGGTCCCAAGGCCAGATGGAATTCTGTGGACCTTTAGTGGGAGGCAACAAGGGCCAAGGCTGGGGAGAAGACAGGAAGTCGCTGAGCCTGAGAAAGTTTCCGAGATGACTTGGGCAGGATTAAGAGACAGGCTGGATGGGTGAGGATCAGGAAGGAAAAGGAGGGACAGAGGCGCTGCCAAGCTTTGCAGCATCAAGAGAAAACAGCACATATGGATGGAACTCCTCCTCTTCAGCATCTCTCCTCTAAGATGAAGCATGGAGGGACATGGCTCCAAAATTTTGCATATGTAGCAAGACCCAGGTGAGGGCCTTTTTAGGGGAGGTGAGAGGTGGCTGGAATGTAGCTAAACCCAAGAGGGCCCTAGTTGCTGCTTTGTCAGCGAGAAAAATCTGATCTTGTTTGTGTTTTACTGGGTTAGTGGTGGGCGTGTGTGTGTGTGTGTGTGTGTGTGTGTGTGTGAATGTGTGTGTGTGTGTGTAAAGCATCTCTCTGTGCATGTCTCTGAATAGATGGGCACTTCTGCATATTTCTGTCCTTGTCTGTCAATGACCTTGTCTCTAAATATGTCCTTGCAAAGTATATGTTCTTGTGTTAGGTGAATCCGGTCTGGCTTTATATGCAATATGCATCCTACTCTTTGTATGCATTGGTGGGGTTTGTGTGTGCGTGTGTGTGTGTGTGTGTGTGTGTGACAGAGAGAGGTAGAGACAGAGGAGAGCACTGGTCCATTCTCTGCAGGCATGACTCATGTGCCCCAGTCTTTGTGTGGGTCTGCATCTTCTTGGGTGGGTATGTGCTGGTGTCTCCTATTGACAGTGTGTCCTTCTCTGTGCCTGCCTTACCCCAGTGTATCAGTGTCTGTGTGTGTGTGTGTGTGTGTATGTGTGTAACTGGATTGTGTTGGTTATATTTGGGCAACAGTGTCAGACTTCTGTTCTTGTCCACATGTATGTGTGTGTGTATCTGCCCCTGTGCATCCTGGTCAGTGTGGAATTTATCCTTGACTGTGTGTAAATGCTGCTGTGTGTGAACTTGTCCGTGTGGAGTGGTAGCTTGAGGGAGGAGTCATATTTTCTTGGATTAATCTTTGCCTTTAAGTAGCTAATATGTGACTGAGCTGATGGGGAGAGAGATGTTAAGATCTTTTATTAGCTCCAAGTGCCCTAACCAACTACTTACCATCCTAATCATTAATTTATGCTTCCATCCATCCATTCAACCATCCCTCCATCCATCTATCCACCCACCCACCCATTCATCTTGGTTGCGCTGACATTTACTATTTATATAGTTATCTCTCTTAGACAAATCACTTAATTTCTTTGTGTCTTATAGATAAGAAAACAGGGATGATACCTAAGAAGGCTAGGAGTAGGGGCATGGGGGAGTTCAGTGAGATATTGCATATAAAACACTTAGCACATTGCATAGCACATAGTAAGTGCTTACTATATTAACTATCATCATCATTGTGGTGGCTGGTACATTTCAGCAAATTCATATCAGGCCTTTACTAAGGGCATCACCCCGAGCTAGAAGCTGGTGAGGCCCTACCTAAGCAGCTTGCGTGACCTTGGATAAAGCCTATGCCCACTCTGGACCCATGGAGTGGATAGAGCACCCTAGCCGCACCTCCCTTACAGAGATTCTGAGTGCACCTGCCCTCTAAACACTGCAAAGAGCTGTGCAGAGTTATGTAGGCTGCCAAGGGACACCCCAGAGCCTCAGAATGTAAGGGGCTGGTCCTGGGTCATCTGGAGGGTCAGGAGGAGCTCGGACAAAACCAGAACCTGTTGCCACCGCAGGGCTCAGTCCACTG